ATGAACAGTATAAATCATAAAATTTGAAACAAATGTCTTTTGGTTTTTCGATCTGTCCAATTGTTTCATTAATTATTTGAGCTTGTATAAATCCACTCTTAATGAGGTTTCCGAATTGTAGAGCTGATAGTTGATTATGAATGACGGAATGTACGTTGATGAAATACTGCCGATCACTTAAATTCATTTGTGTTCGATTGATATGAGTATAGTGTTCGATTTTCGTGTGGAAACATCGCCCTGTCGAAGTAATGATAAATCTAGAGGTTGAATATGACCGGTTGATCCTTCAGGAAAAATCAATAGTTGACTGTCTTGATGTGGAAATACTTTTCGAAATTTATTTTGATCAGTTTGAATTGTCCAACAATCAAGGAAGAGAAGAAATTTTTTATGTATGCAAGGACGTAGTACATCATTAAAAAATATATAATGGTTTGCAGCAGTGCTTTTTCCGGATTTTGATGCTTGTACTATAACATTTGGTGGAATAATCATATTTTTTACCACTATACTACCAAATTCACCTTCTCTTTATTGAAGAAAAAGTAAGAATTTGTTCAGTAATCGACCAGCAGCTGATGTAATAGATTGCACTGTATAGGAATGAGTGACATTGTGCTTTCTTTTAGTATCCACTTCTGTTGTTCTTGCACCAGTGAAAGAAAGAGTTCGTGGAGAGACATATTCTTTTTGAAATGAACAATGATCGCTATTTAAAATTTGATCAGAAGAATACTTTGATATCAATGTTCTTTTACTTTCGATCCAATTTTGAGCATCTAACATATTTTGTAAATTAGATAGTACATATTTTTCAACAGCAAGTAACAGTTTAATTACCATTTAAGCTGCAGACTTTTCTATTCGATCTAATTCGAGTAATGAGTTTATTGTACTGTCGCGATGATATACCATTTTCTTTTTTAAAAGTATTGATAAAGGATTTGCTTGCCTTGAATGTATCCCAATCTAATTCTCTTGCTTTTTGAATTGCATAAAGTTCTAAATCATCATCATGAACAGCTTCTTTTTCAATTGTTCTTTTAAAATAAAATTCATTAAACATAAATTTCTTTATCTGCTTTAATTTTTCTAATTTGGTGCCGGTATTTTCAATGTATTTTCTAAACCTTAATATATACTTCATGGATTTGATTTTCCGAAATCGATGAGAAATAGTTGTAAATCTAGCATTTGGATATTCATCAACCCGTTCGATTATATTTTCCATTTCTTCTAACGTAAAACGATTTTTTATATCATAGTGTTCATTCTTATTATAATCATCAGCTTCACTATCACTATCTTCTTCTTGATCGGTTATTTCTTTATATTTATCATCGGTTTCTTCATCATCCGTTAATTCATCATATTCATCAGCTAATTCGAGAGTATCATAAGTATGAATCTCACTGAAATAGCTATCTTTGAATGACGTCAGAGCCTCGAACAACTGCTTGGAAGCACTAATTTCATCAGTAGTAATAGCAGAATATTCATATCCATATTCAGTTTGAGTTAAATAAACAAGATGTTTAGCGATATTCAATAAACTCATGTTTTAATTTGATTAAATGAATCTTTTTATAGGTTAAATATAGCAGAGAAAACAAGAGAGCAACTATTGAATAGTATATTTTTTGGTAATTTCTTGACACCAATCATACAGAAATGATCAATGGACCACCAAGTGATACATCAATGCACTTTCAGTGCATGAATTAAGGGTATAAGTCAATTGTCAAATGCATTATATAACTTGTTTTCATTTTAATTGTATTGAATTTTCAGAAGAGACTAAAGCTAATGTCATCTTACTGTTATTGATATGCTTTAAAAAGGTTCTCGAAGCCTATCATTAAAATACTCTGTTGATTCTATGAAAAATTGATAAAAAATGATCTTAATGTTGCTATATACACAAAAAATGACTACCGTAAAAAATGAAAATCTGTCTTAAGACAGGCCAAGGACAGCCTATATTTTAACCTTGTTAGTTTGGCACTGAAAGCTTTCATTTGATGCTAATAGATTGCATTTTTCTCGGGGACAGCACAAACACCTCTATTGTTAGTGTTAGAAGAAATTTTATAAGTTGTTGTTGACGTTTTTCATTTAAATTGGTGAAAAGATTTTTGAACAATTTTTGGCCATTAAGTAATTAATTTCTTTCATTAATAGTATTCTCTATTTAAAATGGCAATCGCATTACCTGTATTGACTTTAGATATTATTATGATTTTATCAATTAACAAGTTAGAAATGGCATTTTCTTCTTCTCATGATGAATTAGGCATGTCATATCTTAACTGTTTATTTAATTGGCCAGAAAAATAATTAAACATGTTTTTGATCTTTAAAATTTTCTCATTAGATGTTAGAAGTTTGTTATTATTCAAAATAAAATAAATGTAGTCCAGTTCACCTTTAATATTTAATGTACTAAATTTTTTAACTTTTATTGCCTATTTCCTTCGATTAGTTAATCAATCCTGTTCTGCTTTTGATAAATTACGATATGAAAAATTATAGACTAATTTTTTATTAAGTACATCATTATCAATAAGTCTATTCATTCTTATCAATTTATGATTTTGTCGTATGGTTATTATTTAATAATCTTTCTTAATTAATTCATTTAAATTATGATTAATTTTAATCCAAATGTATAAATTTACCTGATTCCTTACAATTATTTCTTCTTGATTTATAGATTACTTGATCTTACTTAAATTTAAATGTTTTCTTTCATATAGATCTAATGCCACTTGTCTATCTATTTCTTAATATGCGTTTGTTTTGGCAATCTTTTTATCAAATGGTTTGAATATAATGAATTTTGGGGTGATTTGATATAGGGAATATTTTCTTCAAAATGTTGCAGATTTCTCACTACGTATTAATTTGAGTTTACTTTTTTCCAACTTGCGATATAACTTCAACACTTGTCGACCGTACTTTTTCTGTATAGTATTAATTATAGAATCAGTATTTCTTGTTGTTCGTTAAATGTCTTTGATAATGCAATTTATTTTTTTATTCTCTATTTTAAATGTGCTTATTTCTTGATCTACTGTTTACAATCTATTATAACTTCTTTTCTGATTTTCTTCTTTTGACTACTATGATGTTAACAATTGTTAATGAAACGTTTCAAAATTAAAAATGAAATGTATCATTCGATAATAATTTCTTTACTTCTCATTATGAAATACATTTATCGAACAACAAGAAATGCTGGTTCTAAGGAAACTTACATTTCCTTAACATTTTCCTGCAAGATCTTCTCCGTCTGTAGCCACATATTCAGCTCTGAGTTAGTCGCCAGAACTATTCTTGGTTTGTAACTCCTAATCGTTCTGTGTTTGCTATTTATAGAACTTCAAATTCCCGTTCTGAAAAATCTATCCATAAAGCTCTGATGGACATATTACCTTCACTTTTAATACAATTTGAAACCTCTTAGAAAAACTAACGAGACTTTCAACAGATTCTAAGATAATTCCGTCATGAAAGTCCATTGTAATTCGTTTTTAGCGAGCAATAAACTTGTTTTTCTTTTAATAGGTAGCGCTCCAAATAAAGTGTTGGAAATTCAAAATTAAAGCAGAATTTATTCTTATATATGGATAGATAGAGCGTGAGGGACTGACCAACAATATCAGTGTTTTCATGTTTTGGAATGAGTTTTTAGAGATAAATTTTCAGTTTTTACGATCGCCTACTTTTTCCAAAAAAAGTATCAATATTTTTGTTTCTTTCAAATTTTAAAACTATTTGTGCCAGGTTCAGCATGAAAAATTGAACCTATAAAAACTACAAATGACTTCTCTATATTCAACATGTCACGCTGAATTTGAACGAAAGAAAAAAAATTTATCTATATTTCAAGAGAAAATATATCAACGTAAAAATCTGAAATTTTCTCCCTGAAAACTCACTCCAACAACATGAAAACACTAATATTCTTGATCAGCTAGTCATGCTCTATCTCACCATATATAAAAACAAAAAGAGAATGAAATTTTGCTTTGATTTTGCATTTTCGACATATTAGCTTATTTTATTGTAATCCATTATTTATTATTTTGTTTTTCATTCATAGCAAAAAGCGAAAGTCCTAATAATAGTTCTTAAAGCGTAGTTTGGCTATTAATAAACTGACCATATAATTCTTTAGTTAGGAATTTGAAGGTAGATGGAGGTTAATAGATGACTCATACCCCACTGCACATTTCACTACTAATTTAATTAAAAAGTAACTGCTGAAAATGATGACACGAGTGATCAGTGCTTAAGAACATTTTTTACCAAAGATAATTATGCATAGACAACTATTTACGAGAACGACAAGTACACTGTGAATTTATTTTAAATTTTATTTTGTAGAAAACCGATTTGAAATTAGCTAAAACATTTTCGAACATTTGCTAAAAATTCTTCGAATTTTAAATATTCAGAAAATGTTTGATTTTCTAAATTATCGACAATCACTTTTGATTTGAAAAAAATCATTGAATTAATAATGATATCTTTTTTACAACTGTTTTAGAGAATCAATCATTATAATTGATTATGACATTAGACATGTAATATATGACTTGTACCATGAAATAATTTACATTATAATCAGATGCAAATATCTTTCATTTCTAAATTTTATGGTTTTCGCTTGTTATAGTACATCATTTAAATGAAATAAATACTAGAGTAGATTTGCATATGAATTATCATTCAGTTTTCGTATCCTGTTAATATGAAAACATAAAAAATGCTTTAGATAAACAAAAGTGTGCAAGATTAGTAGAACTACTCAGTCTAAACAACCATGATTTCATTTATTCATGTCTGTTTGTCTGTTGATGATCTTTTTTTTCCAGATCAACAGAAGAATGACTTGACGGATACTAATCTAAATTTTTGGTTAAAAAGATGTACGTTTGCTGCAATACTGATTTGTTATGATGTATTGACATTAGAAAAAAATTGTGGAGCTATGAAGTTAGTGCATCGGATATTAATATTGCATTGAGTAAGAATGAAGTTTTAACATACAAAGTAGAGGATTGTTATTGCATAAATAATTGATATTTCATTCGTGTATTTTATCGTTTAACTCTCGTTGGCCAATTTTTTGAATGTCTTGATGCTGATATGTCTATTTAA